CCAGTACAGCTCATCTAGGCCCATCACTGACCAGTGGAGCTCATCTAGACCCGTCACTGACCAGTACAGCTCATCTAGGCCCGTCACTGACCAGTGGAGCTCATCTAGGCCCGTCACTGACCAGTACAGCTCATCTAGACCCATCACTGACCAGTGGAGCTCATCTAGGCCCGTCACTGACCAGTGGAGCTCATCTAGGCCCATCACTGACCAGTGGAGCTCATCTAGGCCCGTCACTGACCAGTGGAGCTTTGCTCAGCCCCTCACTGACCAGTGGAGTTTATCTCGGCCCGTCACTGGGTGCACTAACAAATATGAGTGCCACCTTCCCACTGAGTCAGGGAATGGATGGAACTAACTCTTAAGTAAGAGCACAGACTGACGTGTGGGTGTACCTTTGTGGGCAGGGTGTCCTTGTACCTGAGTTCAGTCCAGTGTTGAGGCTCTTGGCACACATGGTGCTGTGACAAACTGAGATCCAGAAAGGAGCCTGTAAGAGAAATAGCTGCAGCCAGGAACCCCCACCCCCACCCCCACCCCCCAGTGTGGCCAACAGCCCACAGCACCCTGACTCATGGCTCTGACTGTACCAGTACACCCTCTCACTCTCTCCCCTGCCTCTCTGTCCCCTCTTCTCTCTCACTCTCTCCCCTGCCTCTCTGTCTTCTCTCTCTACCCTCAAACCTCTGTTCTCTCTCTCTCCTCTCTTGGTTGTGCAGAGCCTTCATCTTCATTAGGTGAGTGTGTTTTAGAGCATGGTCATAGCAGTGTGGAGCAGTGCTCACACTCCTGAATTCACACCTTCACCTCCATTAGGAAAGTGTGCTGCAGCACAGCGTGGTCATAGCAGTGAGGAGTGATGCTCAGGAATCAGACTTCTGAACTCACACAGTCACCCCCATTAGGAAAGTGTGCTGCAGGACAGTGTGGTCATAGCACTGAGGAGTGATGCTCAGAACCTTGTCTGTCAGACAGCAGGGTTGTGGGTTTGAATCATGTGTGGGATAAAATAAAGAGAAACGGCCTAGCCCAGTGAAGTCATGGTGTAGAGTTTAGAGATATGGGAGAAGAAGATAGAGAAGGGGAACCCACTGCCCAGTAAATTCATGGTTATGTTCTGTGAAGTCTGAGGCCAACATGCAGACTGTTCCACTGTGGCAGACTGGAAGACTCCCAAAGTCCGATCCGCTCTTAATGTCAGCCAGTTCCAGCTGGGCGCCCGCTTTGGTGACGCATGGAAAATCATAGCAAGGCCACTGCTGACGCGCCCAGCCCTGGGGCAGGAAGTGTGTCGGGCAGAGACGGAGCATCGGCGAATGAGATTAAAGGAGCAGCGCAGACAGGGCCAGACCACAGCAGGTACCGCGCGCCCTGCAGTGCTTCCTCCAGCACCCAGCGGGGCATGTGTCAGGCCACTGCTCGGATACCCTGTAGCGCAGCTGTGAAGTAAGTGCTGCTGCACCTGTTCATAGGAGTGCTGCTACAGTCAGGTCTGGCGTAGACAAAACCATGCCTATGCAGTCCATTGCAGCACACACCAGCCTAACCCAACCCAGCTAGGTCCAGTCCAGTTAAACACATCCCAGCCCAGCTAGGTCCAGTCCAGTCAAATAAAACTCAGCCAAGATAGGTCCAGTCCAGTTAAACACATCCCAGCCCAGCTAGGTCCAGTCCAGTCAAATACAACCCAGCCGAGATAGGTCCAGTCCAATACAACCCAAACCAGCTAGGTCCAGTCCAGTCAAATAAAACTCAGCCAAGATAGGTCCAGTCCAGTTAAACACATCCCAGCCCAGCTAGGTCCAGTCCAGTCAAATACAACCCAAACCAGCTAGGTCCAGTCCAGTCAAATAAAACTCAGCCAAGATAGGTCCAGTCCAGTTAAACACATCCCAGCCCAGCTAGGTCCAGTCCACTCAAATACAACCCAGCCGAGATAGGTCCAGTCCAATACAACCCAAACCAGCTAGGTCCAGTCCAGTCCAATACAACCCAGCCCAGCTAGGTCCAATCCAGTCTAAGGCCAGTCCAGTCCAATACAACCCAAACCATCTAAGTCCATTCTAGTCAAAAACAACCCAGCCCAGCTACGTCCAGTCCAATACAACCCAGCCCAGCTAGATCTATTCAACTCAAATACAACCCATCCCAGCTAGGTCCATTCCAGTCAAATACAACCCAGCCGAGATAGGTCCAATCCAGTCAAATATAACCCAGCACAGATAAATCCAGTCCAGTCAAATACAACCCAGCCCAGCTAGGTCCAGTCCAGTCCAATATAGGTCAACCAAACCCAGGTAGGTCCAGTTCTGCCCAATACAACCCAGCCCAAGTAGGTCCAGTCCAGTCCAGTACAACTCAGAGCTCAGAGCTCCCAGCAGGTTAAAGCAGGGCCTGCTTCTGTCCCAATGATTCAGAGCTGCCAGCTTAAACTGTGTCTGTGATACCAGAGCAAAATAAAATGTACACATCTTCTTTTTCAGTAAGCGACAGAATCTCAGTTTTGAAATCACTTCATAGTTTTTTTAATTAGAAATATGAATAAAAATATATCCTGTACATCTCTTCAGGGACGCCTGTCAAGATTGCTCTACATAGCTGCAGTAATGAAGATTTACATTGTGCAGATAAAGTCTTTGCAATCCTGGCTCAGACTAGATTTTCACACCCCTGTGGTAGTAATCACTTTAATACTTTATAAATGAATACTTTGGTACTCAGCTCTATGCCGGTAGGAGCTCCTCCAGACGGGTAGGAATTGGGGAGATTGTGGTGCAGCAGAAACCCATTATTCACCACATAGCTCTGCAGAGAAGCCGCTGGAGAATAATGGAGAATAATGCTGGAGACGTGCAGCTTGCGACAGATACAGGAGGTGACTGCAGTGTTCGTCACTGAGGGGAGAGAGTGAGTCCCCATCAAACCTAAACTAGCACAGACCTCAGGAGAGGGGGTGAGAGAGGACTAAGAGGGAGACGGTGGGGTACAGGCTGCAGGAGAGAGGGTGAAAGGGGTCTGATAGAGAGACAGTGGGGTACAGGCTGCAGGACAGGGGGTGAAAGGGGTCGGACAGAGAGACAGTGGGGTACAGGCTGCAGGAGAGGATTGAGGGGTCTGACAGAGAGACAGTGGGGTACAGGCTGCAGGAGAGGATTGAGGGGTCTGACAGAGAGACAGTGGGGTACAGGCTGCAGGAGAGGGGGTGAAAGGGGTCTGTTAGAGAAGACCATTGAAGACAGGTCTCCTAGACTGAGTGCTGTGACAGTTGGAGATTTTCGTACTGATGTCCCACTCCTGTCTCCACAGATGGACTTGAAGGACTGTGACAGAGTGGTCAAGAAGCACAGTATAAATGGCCCCAGATTCTTGGTGAGTCAACTATTATTCATGTTGTATCATAACTGTCTGCACTGTGTGATTGAGTTATTGTGATATTTTATTTATTCTGTTTGTGTGAGTCCAGCGAAAGCGTTTTACTGTCATTATATAAGTTCTCAGCCTATTTTACAGTCTTCACTTAGAATAATTAAGGTAGTATTGTAACAATGAAGTCTGTGTAATTAACTAACCATACCAAAGAACATAATTTGGTCCAGATTCTAAAAGAAATGCAATGATCCCAAAGTTATCATTTACGGCCACTTTGTTTTAACCTCTGTAGACACGATCCTATCACCTACATATCGCCTCTGTAGACACAGCCCTATCCTGTCATACACAGTACATGTCAACTCTGTAGACATGGTCCTATCCTGTCACCTACATATCACCTCTGTGGACATGGTCCTATCCTGTCACCTACATATCACCTCTGTGGACATGGTCCTATCCTATTATCTACAGTACATGTACACTCTGTAGATAGGGTCCTATCTTGTCTCCCACAACACATGTCAACTTTGTTACATGGCCCTATCCTGTTATCTACAGTACATATCACCTCTATAGACATGGATTATTCCTCTTAGGGTCAAGGGGCTCTTGCTGAGCCTTTATTGTTGATGCGGGATGCGCTGACTGACTATATTTTCCTGCTGTTTTTCAGGACATGTCAGAGAACGACCTGCAGAAGTTCCCCAAGCTGCATGCGCCGTGAGTATTTCTCTGAGCCATCCCCTCTCTGTACAGGCCTGTCAGTACATCTGCTCACAGCCTCGCACTGGCACAGTGCAACAGCAACACATCCTGTATGTTCTTTCCTGTCTCTCTGCCCTCTGTCCTCTCTCCTTTCTTCTCTCCTCCTTCTCACCCAAGGTTGTCAACTTGCCTGCCTCCATCTTCATTATCTTCTATTCTCTCATCTTTTTCATCTCCCCTTTCTATGTCGCTATCCCTTCCTTCTCTTGCTCTCAGTCATTCCTCTCCTTCCTTCCTTTCAATCTTTAGCAATATGATACTGCACTGAGAGAGATTCCCAAAGGACAGATCCCTGAGGGGACAGTCCTCAGTCTGGACAGTCGTGCTAGTCCAATCGATCAGGTCAGAACTCCTGGTCACAGACACAGTTAAGACACCAGGGTCCAAGGACTGGTTCAGCCCAATCAGATCTGGTGAAACTGCTGCCGTCTCCCCACTATTGGGTTTTCAGGACCAGGGTTGATCCATCAAGACGAGCCATCAAGAAAGAAGAAGCCTGTGAAGTGAAGTGAGGGTTGTCAATGTTAGCTTCTGCTTGGATTCCCCAGAGAAGAGGAAACCAGGACAGATGTATCCCTGTGGAGTTATTGTGGGTTTTAGTGATTCCCTGACATGTTGTCCAGTGCGCCCTGGAGTGACCAACAGTAGAGATACAGAGTGTCATTCTGACAGTGGCCAGGCCTTCATCAAGGAACTAGGTCCCACGACACTTACAGAGGAAGTGAGGCTGGTCTCTTACGCCATCCAGCTCCCATGGAAACATCCCGTGTGTCTGCCCCCTCGCAGCCTGCCTCATCACCCAAGATCACCCCCCGCAAGACCGAAGGAGTCATCAGAGACGGGGCCCACCCCCTCACACTCTCAGAAACACTGATGCAAGAAGAGCAAGAGTCACAGCTGAGAAATACAGACCGTGGCACAACTGTCAGTGGGGCGATCACAGGAGAGTGTCATGTGTA